CATCTCGATTATATGAAATTAAAATATAAAATATTTATGTATTCCACATTTACGTTATTCATTACAAGTACTATATTACTTATATCGTAGTACAAAAATTAACGTTATTCATTAGAAGTACTATATTCTTATATCTCAATCATATTTCATCGATGAAGCTTTTCATATACCGCAGACAATATGATATTGTGTGTGGAATTTTACACAGGTAATACGTGGCACAAAAATAATTTGCTCTCAAGTATTGTGCGCATTTCTCAAAAATAAATCAAATTAAATTATTTTCAGGATCCAAAAATCACTACATTGCCAGGATTGTACCTTATTATAACTGCGATATTATCACCTTTTAATATGTGTGCGCAGTATTACATACATAAAATATATAAATTTATTTGAAACGTACTGAAATCTCGATCTTATTTATAATATTTATGATATTATAAAAGAAAATTGCAACTCTAATGAAACAAAGCGGTGGAATAATTGGTTGATACTTATGCTGGTCAATATTTACCCTTTTTTCATCATTAGACTTTTGGTGCTTTTTTTATACAGATGGTATCTGTAAATATAGTACTCGTAATGTTGTTTCTGCATCACTGTAAGCACACAAAAATGATAGCATTTGCAGGTAATTATGTATTATATTTATATATCATAAGAAAGAGAAAATAAAATTAAAGTTGAATACTGAATGTGCTCTAAAGTAAATCTCATCTAAATAAATAAATGCATAAATGTGCGCTCCACATTCCTCATGAAAAAAATACATAATATTAATCTTTATGTATTATTTTTAGATTTGTTTTTTATTCTTTTAAATTCTCTAGATGCACTTTTCATTTCTGCTCTCTTTCTTTCCAAGTACTAAATATAGATCTATCATTTTTAATATAAATCTGTCATTTTTAGTGTACATTATTGCAGTAAGTGGAATAAAGAGCAAATCTTTTGGCACATTTAAAATGTACAGGAAAGTCAGTTTTATCTGATACGTTTTTTTCAATAGAAATATCTGAAAAAATTCATACGTCTTTTTTAATTTTAATCTTTCTAAATAAAAATTAGAATAATAAATTTGCAAAATAATTTGCTTTAATATATTTTTATTGCAAACATATGAAGCAAAGTGCTCAAGGTGCATCACTATGAAAACATCGATAGAATAAAAAGTAGATCGTATACAAAAAAATTAAAATATTTACACTACATATTTGATATAGCATTTAATCGATATGTGCAGTAATACGATAAAATCTAATTTTCTCTCGAATTTTTTCACGAAATTTAAACTACTAAAAAAATATCAAATGTTCAAATTGTTCAATAGTCTTGCGAAAGAAGCAGTTCTCGCTTTTCTAAAGAATCTTTAGAAAAAAAAGTACAAAAAATTCTAAAGAAAAAAAAAAGGACAAAAAATTTTAAATCTCACATGGATATTTAATTTTATACTAATATTTTTAATGTAACACTTCATTTATAAAGATTTTATTTTGTGAAACGTTTATACATAAAAGTACAATGATTATACGGCTACTTTAATCTATTGTTTCATCTTCGCATGATTTTCGTTTATAAAATAATTGTGCCTCTAGATATTTTTCTCTGGAAGCTTTATGCAATGTGTGCAACCTAAATCTGTTAACGTACAAGTATTAGAGTAACGGAATAAGCATATGTAATTTGATTAAAAATACGTGCTTTACATGAATTTTTAATTACATATTTTGTTATGTTACAAATAAAAAAATCATGCTTGCGCGACGTGATTCTAACAATTTACCGACATGCACAAAATGATGACTTTACCGGCACTCGAAAAGTATTTAGACTACGTAATTCTGGCGTTTAACGCGAATGCAGATGGCGATACTAAACAGCAAAGAAAGATGGCTGCATGAGTGAAACGCGAGGCGCGAAATATTGCATTTCGTACATCGTTCTTTGCGAAAAAAATGTGTGAAAGTGTTGTACGTATTCGCGATTAACAGGTCGGTATTGATGAATACTAATCAACGCAAGTATAATTTGTCTTGCATTGGATATCTCTTCAAACTCTGTATATGAATCGCTCTCAGTCTTTTAAAATGCAAAACTAAATATTATAAGATTTGGCTTTGGAAAAGCGCGATAAAACAATCGAATCATTCGTAATTCATATCATTAGCATAATATACTATGAATTTTCTACGTTATATATTGAATCGAAATTGCGCGAAAGAGGAAAAAAAGAACAAGCCAATGAATAGACATTTCCATCCTTTACTAAAAGAAAAAGAAATTAAAAATATCTCTCAATTTTTTCTCTGTTTCTTCGGGCAAGTCTACATATATGACCAATATGATTAATTGATTCTATCATTATATATTTATCATTATGTGCTTTCAGAAATCAAAGTTACGCGAACGTTGAGCCCAGGGATGGCCATGCGCAGAAACGAATGCGCAGTGGTTCGGCCGCCATGTTGGCGCGTGACTGCGATGTCACAGTACGTCACTGCTACGTCATACGCGTCATACGCGACTCGGAGTCATACGCAGTTACACGGATCGTCGTACATCCGCATTTTTCGCGTCTTTTAACCGTTTTTAAACGAATATCGCGAGTGAACGAGCGTCGAAAGTGCTAAGGATGATCGCGCGACTTTCATAGTGTGTCGATGGAAACGCGCGACAGCGATTTTTGACGATATTCAGTGATGGCGTCATTGCGAAGATGGAGCGAAATTGCGTCGCGTTATTCGCGCCCTTGATGATGATTATCGGATGCGAGCGAGTATTGGGAGTACCGAATAAAGTGTCGCGCGTTCGCGTTGATGATATCGTGTGGATTTGTGTGCATCAAGATCGGAATGGGACGTCCCGAGGCGAGCGAATTGTCCGGAGGAGCGGCCTGTGGAACAGCCGGTGAGTAGATTTGATTTATCATATTTGCGTGATAATTTGTGCTCATTCGACGCTTATACAGCATCGCGATGTCCCGAATTACATTCGGACAAATCGGCATCATAATTCGATTCGGTACAATTCAAATAAAGTCGATCGCGTGAAGATGGTTCGGCTAGAAGCGATTTCAAATTTATTTTGTATACGCGCGCGCAGTGCTGCACAGCCTATCTCGTAGGGCTGCCAACCGTCAAACGATAAATTTTTTCGATCTAACCTAATCTAACCTAACCTATCCTAACCTCTCAGTATCTTCGGTTGTCGAATGTAAATACAAGCGTATGCTCCCTGGATTTTATCATGCTTTCAAAAATAATATTTAATTATTTCATTAGTGTATTACATTTTATTACGTATTATATTAATCGTATTAGATGTGCGACGTACAGTTTTACACATTTTAATGAGAAGCATATGATATAATTGGTTAGGTTAGATTAAATTAAAACAAGCTGCTGTGATTCATTTAACGTAATAGGATTAATTTGACGAATGTGCAGCTATTGAAGTTACATGATATTTGTGGACACATTTTTAAAGTAGTCATAAGTATCTTATCTCATCTCGATTATATGAAATTAAAATATAAAATATTTATGTATTCCACATTAACGTTATTCATTGCAAGTACTATATTACTACATTACAAGTACTTTTCTTATATCTCAATCATATTCAACCATTTATTTCATCGATGAAGCTTTTCATATATCGCAGACAATATGATACTGTGTGTGGAAGTTTTTAAACACAGGTAATACATGGCACAAAAATAACTTGCTCTCAAGTATTGTGCGCATTTCTCAAAAATAAATCAAATTAAATTATTTTCAGAATCCAAAAATTGCTACATTGCCAGGATTGTATCTTATTATAACTGCGATATTATCACCTTTTAATATGTGTGCGCAGTATTACATACATAAAATATATAAATTTATTTGAAACATACTGAAATCTTTATCCTATTTACAATATTCATGATATTATAAAAGAAAATTGCAACTCTAATGAAACAGAGCGATGGAATAATTGGTTGATACTTATGTTGGTCTACAATATTTACCCTTTTTTCACCATTAGACTTTTGGTGCTTTTTTTATTATCCAGATGTTATCTGTAAATATAGTACTCGTAATGTTGTTTCTGTATCACTGTAAGCATACAAAAATGATAGCATATGCAGATAATTATGTTATACTTATATATCGTAAAAAGAGAAAATAAAATTAAAGTTGAATACTGAATGTGCCCTAAAGTAAATCTCATCTAAATAAATAAATGCATAAATGTGCGCTCCACATTCCTCATGAAAAAAATACATAATATTAATCTTTATGTATTATTTTTAGATTTGTTTTTTATTCTTTTAGATTCTCTAGATCATAGATGCACTTTTCATTTCTGCTCTCTTTCTTTCCAATTACTAAATATACTACTAATCTATCATTTTTAATATAGATCTGTCATTTTTAGTGTACATTATTGCAGTAAGTGGAATAAAGAGCAAATCTTTTGGCACATTTAAAATATACAGGAAAGTCAGTTTTATCTGATTCGTTTTTTTCAATAGAAATATCTGAAAAAATTCGTACGTTTTTTTTAATCTTAACTTTTCTAAATAAAAATTAGAATAATAAATTTGCAAAATAATTTGCTTTAATATATTTTTATTGCAAACATATGAAGCAAAGTGCTCAAGATGCATCACTATGAAAACATCGATAGAATAAAAAATAAATCGTATACAAAAAAATTAAAATATTTACACAACATATTTGATATAGCATTTAATCGATATGTGCAGTAATACGATAAAATCTAATTTTCTCTCGAATTTTTTCACGAAATTTAGACTACTAAAAAAACATCAAATATTCAAATTGTTCAATAATCTTGCGAAAGAAGCAGTTCTCGCTTAAAGAATCTTTAGAAAAAAAGTACAAAAAATTCCAAAGAAAAAGGACAAAAAATTTTAAATCTCACATGGATATTTAATTTTACTTTAATACTAATATTTCTAATGTAACACTTCATTTATAAAGATTTTATTTTGTGAAACGTTTATACATAAAAGTACAATGATTATACGGCTTCTTTATTCTATTGTTTCATCTTCGCGTGGTTTTCGTTTATAAAATATTTGTGCCTCTGGATATTTTTCTATCAGAAAATGCAGTTTTCCATATTTCGCTAACAATTGTATTTTCGTTTCGTCGGAGTTTCTCGTTCGTTCAAATCCAACATTCCATTTTCTTTTGTAAGACGGAAGTTTAGTAAAGAATGGCAGTAATTTCTTCTTTTTCAACACCATTCTTTTGTCCATTACATACTGCATAAAATCGAGAGACTTATTGGACGGTACTTCTGATTTTCTGATTTGCGCTGGTGAAACAAGTACTACTGGATAATTCCCATTTTCTGATTTAACTTTGACTAAATGCTATCATTTTTCATCTGCAAGTTGTTGATATTTCTGCAAATATTTCCATTATTTTGAGATTGATTTGTTCCATGATATATTGCAATAATTAAAGTATGATTACTGATATAATCTGCCATGAGACTACAGAGAAAGCCAGCTTTAATTCTTTATTTTGTTCAATATTTTTAATAATATAATAATTAAATTAAAGTTCTATGAAAATATGCTTGAAATACTAAATAAAAAAGATTGTTTCTTATGTACAACCTTATAAAGTTTAAGTAAACAAAAAATTATTGTTAATAATATACATATATAAATTGATAATTAAATAAAACAATTAATTAATTAATCGACACAATCCACGTTTTTTTTAACTTTATGTCTAACATATATATATATATATATATATATATATATATATATATATATGTATATATATTTTTATAAATAAAAAATGTTTCTTTCTAATATAAATTAAATAAAAAGTATAATATGCCTTCAAAAACTTTATATTCACACCTATTGCAATAAACCAACCAAAGAATGCTTTTACATTCCTCCTTGTACTTTGGTATACATATCCTTTATGCCAATTCTCTCGCAACATGCTTTTATCGCATGATGACAAACAAGCCCATTATCCTTCATGAATTTTCTTTACAAATATTTTTTTACAATATTTTTATATTCTCAAACTATGTAAACTGTGTAAAGAAATCATGTAACACTGAAAAATACAAAGTGATATTAAAAGAGAAGAAATAAATTTTATATTATATAGTATTGACAATTATTTTCTTACCAGTGTGTTCCTTATATGTAGAAATATACATTAATCTTTGACCAGCCCTATTTTTAATCGTCTTTAGGGATGCTTTGGCTTTTGATAACGCAAATCCAGCCAATCCATTTCCATTCCCAGTTACTATAAATGAATTGATTCTAGTCTTACGTGCTAAATTACTGGTCATACAAGTTATCATTTTGTTTTCCAAAATCCAGGTTTCAAAACTTTCAAATGTATCTGCAGAAAACAAAGATATTAATTATATATGATTCTAATATTTAGAACTGAAACATCAAAAAAAAAAAAATTGAAAATAGACATCGTATCACATGATTTTTGTATGTGTGTAATTTAACCATTTAACCATAATCCAATAATAGCATAAATATTAACCTTTTCCAATAAGATCTGATTCAATGCTTCTGCCATCCATTGTAACACTCCTCCAACCACATTCCAATGGCGATAATTTTATTTGCATTGGTCTGGTCTGACTTTGTGGTAATTCCATAAGTTTTTGCTTTCTTTCAAGATTTACAAGCAGTTTCAGCTGTTGAATTAATTCTTTCCCTCTAAACACAGAAGTGTTCAGACCAGGAAATTGTATTGGAATTTTTCCCATGCCAATAATTTGCTCCTTATTTAGGCCTCTCTTTTCATTACTCTTCTTGATCTACCTCTGCGTCTTCCTGCATTACTGATACTTGTCACATCCTTTCATAATTCATCTTCAGGTCCTATAGAACAAAAGCATAGTGAAATACAAACTATTTTCTACTGTAAATATAAACTATTATCAAAATGCTATATCCATAAAAGTTCTACTTACTATTCGCAAAGAACATAGAGTTTCTCACATTATTTAATAAAGTGACTATTTTTAATAAATGTGAATGACTGACAAGCAATAAATTAAACAATATTAAACAATAATATATACCTGAAAAAAATTTCATAATTTTATTAGAATTAAATTGATAAATTAATTTTAAATACATATTATATGTTAATTACATATAATAATTTAGAGACAATGATATATTTCATTTGCGTTACCATTGTTTACAGATTGAACATTTTTATCAAATTATTTACAACTCTACAAATATGTAGCATACGACAAGCCATTTTTAAAATCTATAAAACAAACAACAAAATTGTTCATAGTTTTCACTCTGTTTTGTCATAGTCTGCTTTTAGGCGATCTCTGAAAGCAATGCATCCTATAAACAAAAAAATATAAACATGAACTACGTAGTCAAATCTACGAATGTTTTCAATGGGTAACATAATTTCGGATTATATTCCATGCCTCGTACACAAAATGTCGATAACATAAGTAACGCAAAACATTTGTATATATTAAATAAATTTGTAATATAAATAAGTTTTGTGATCTCTCTCTCTCTATCTATTTATCTATCTATCTATCTATCTATCTATCTATCAAGTATAATTATTAAAATATATTACCCGATATTATATTATATTATATTATATTAATCACACATTATCTATCACCACCATCGCCATTATTATATGTAATTTAATATATACTACCGTTTAATTAAAAAAATATTTGCCTCAATTAATTTCAATCAGAAAGAAGAATAAGAAACATCATAGATCACTTGGGTAATTCCTAAAGGCAATACGCCCTCTGAAATAAAAACGTGGACATGAACTACGAAGCTAAATCATGAATGTTTTCAGTAGGTAACATTATTTTGGATTGTTTCGTCAGTAACACAAGTATCGATAATGCAAAACACTAAATTTTTAATACAAATCTAAAGTTTTGGGTGGTCTTTCTCTCCCTGTATTAATAATATAATTAATTATTAATATATTCCTTGATACAATATATTAATCACACATCGTCCATCATCACCATCGCCACCGCCATTTTTACGTGATTTTTATCACAACGGTTCATCATTGAAAATAAATTATAACACAAAAAATATTCTAGTTTATTTTTAAATATTATTTTTAAATATTATTTTTAAATATTAAATAATATAAGTATTAAAATTAAAATAAAAAATTGGCTCAAATAATAATAATTAAAAATTAACTAAACAATTGATAACTAAGAGCCAATAAAAAGCGCGATAACTGGAGCACAAGAAAAATCCTTTCTCTTTTAATTATTATTATATTTGAAATTATTAGTATATATTTATTAGTAAATTACTCGTCACAATACATACAATAAATACGAACGTTTCGGATTATCTTTTAATCTACCTTCAACGTGACATTAATATTATTACACATTCGAAAATATTAGACAATGACATATGAAAAATTATATAAATCAGATGCAGATAGCATTTGTAATATCTGCATGCCGATTATGAAACGATTTATATAATTTCATATTTATTCATATTTATATAATTTTATATGTTATTGTCTAATATTTTTTAATGAGTAATATAATGATACGCCGTTAAATTTCTTTTCTAGATGCGATCGCGATCAACACCGAAAATTATTTATTATAACTATATGATTAATTAACTTTTATAAATAACACATAATTAATATCTACATACAAATCGCGACAAAAATTCTCTATCACATTTAATCGTAATTTATTCATTTAATCAACTAAGAATTATAGTAACAGAAATCTAAAATAATAAATTATTATTTCGATATGAAATCGATTTTTACGAGCAGAAATTATTTCTTTAGTATTTATAGATATTTATAGAGTCAAATACAATATATCTGCGATGCTTTATTTTTCAATCATTGAAATATTTTGAATTGTGAGAACGCACAATAAAATAATTGAATCATGAATCTAAACATAATGAAAGACTCCATACATCAATCTTTTAATAAATAATCCTATAATTAAGAAATCTATGTAATCTAAAATACTGTTATATACTTAAATATATTCCATATATACATATATGTATATATTAAAACGTAAAATATTTCGAACGTAAAATACGTAAAATATTTCGATGACGAACAAACAATAATCGACCTTGGTGCCGTAATAGCGCGCTAATGTTTATATGCTATAGTCTTGAAAAATGTTTCGATAAAAAAATAATAATAACACGGTCTTTCGGACTAACTTTTTCGCTTCTATTATTATTCGCGCGTCGACACTCAAAGAGTAAAGTAGTGGTATACAAGACGCTCCGTTAAATCCTTTTCTAGACGCGATCGCGATCAATATCGAAAAATTATTTGCTGTATTTATTATATTATATTATAATATAAAATATAATATAATATAATACAATATATTTCGATATGACGAACGGAAATAATAAGTCTGAAAAATTTTCGGTACAAAAATAATAATACACGGTCTTTTGATTAATTTGTTCGGTTCTATTATCATTCGCGCGATGACACTCAAAGAGTAAAGTAATAGTACAAGACGCTCCGTTAAATCTTTTCTAGACGCGATCGCGATCAATATCGAAAAATTATTGCTGTATTAAAATATGTAAAATATAATATAATATAATATAATATAATATGATATAATATAATAAAAATACGTATTGTTTACGCCAAGATTGATATTATTATCTGTTTGTCATCGAAATATCTTACGTACGTTAACATATTTATATTACCTTATATTGTAATATAAAATATAATACAATATATTTCGATATGACGAACGAACAATAACACGGCATTCGATTTGACGTAAACAATAGCGCGCTAGTCGTACAACGTATGGCCTTCGTATCATTCATAAAGCGACACTCGAGCAATAAAGATCGTAGTGCGAAATACGTCGTATATTCTTAAATTAATTATTAATTAAACGATTATTTATCGTGACTTTCAATTATATTAAACTTTCGACTATAATCGAATTAATATACATGTATTGCATATATATATATATATATTATATATATATATATCAATAATGAAAACAACAAATTCATTACGCGTAATAATTAGTTTTACAAAATAAATTATTTTGAGTTTTATAAAGAAGATTTATAATTATATATCTATTAATTATATATTATATTATATATAAAATTATATATAATATAACCCTCCCACGGGGTACACCTTGTCGCGGTGGGAGGGCTTAGTACTTGGATGGTGCCTTGAAGTTTATTTTAAATTTTTTAATTTAGAATAAATCTCAAGGAGCCTGAAGAGGAAGCTAAGTACCCTTTCGCGTCGTCGTGCCGTCAACGTGTCGCGGATGGCGGCGTCTCGTTACCGCGTTTTCGCGTTTAGCTTTTTCGCGTCATCGCGTCATCGCGTTTTCGCGTTGGACTTTCTCGCAATCCCAATTTCATTTATATGTCATCGAGTTGTCATCTTCCGACGTCAATTAACTGGGATGTTCATTGAGTCGTTGCTGCAACGATCTTTGTCTCACGCCTGGTGCAACGCGGCATTTAGGTGATGCCGGCGCGCATGCGGATGCCAGTACTGTGTATGTGGGCGCGCGATTTTGAGCTTTTGCTCAAAAGTCCGGCTGATTGAGGTCACGCTCTGCTTCTGGCTCCAGTTCGGTACGGATCGGTTAGGATTCGATCGATTGCTTGGAATCGTCGTTAATGGATCCCTTTTCTTGTTCCGTCTGAGATAGGATATTAGGCGCGGACAAGAGTCGAGTGAACTCCATTCGCGTTGATTCCATCAATCGATAGTTTTCTTCCGTTTCGGACTTAACTCTTGTTCGGAGGTAAGATGCGTTGAATTCCCAACCTGTTGACTCGAAGATGACTCTTGTAAAAGTGAAACGGGATTTTCGCTCGTACCGAAACCGGGAGTGCCGTTTAAAGTATATATATATTAAATATATACATCGCGCGACAAAACAGAAAATTTTTAATCGTATCGAATAGTGCAGGAGTGCCGTTCAGTATCGCGCGTAAAAGTGCGAAAATAGCGATATAAAAATATCGCACGTGAGTGCGGGAATGCCGCTAAAAGTTTCGCGCGATTAAGACTGAGAGGAGGAGGAGGCCTAGGAGAGGCATCGAGCTTCGGCAGAGCAACCGTCTGGTAAATAGTTTATTTATTTGCAATTATATATATATATATATATATATATATATATATATAAATTAAATATTGAATATATTTATTATAATTTAAATTAAGCAATTAATCGTAATTTGATTTTTTTATTCATATGATTTAAATACGAATTTTAAAGAAAAAGATTTTTATATAAAATTTATAATCTTGTAAAGGTTTTATAAAGTTATTCAAGAATTATTAGTAATATTTTATTTTATTAATCTGCTATTATTATATGCGTCGGATATAAAATTCAATACATACAATAATTTTTAAAATAATAATTATTTTGAACATTATTACAATTTAGATCTTCTATTTGTATGTTATAGAACAACCCAGATGATCTGAGAGGAGGAGCAGGCCTAGGAGAGGCATCCTGCACCAGCGGAACAACCTGATGGTGAATATTATTATTTATATTAATTGTATATAAATGAATGAATTAATTTATTAATTTGATTCATGTGAATGATTTAAACAAGAAAAAATTGGGAAAATTTTTGTAATATTTCTTTCTATATAATTCTGTCTAAAGGTTCTACTTGAAAAAATTAATTAATTATAAAATTATTTTATATTTATATATCTATTTATAATTGCGCACATCGGACATAAAATTCAATGAATCCAATAATAAATTTCTTAAAATATTAATTATTTTAAACATTGATGTAATTTGCATTTTATATTTGTATGTTACAGACAACGTAGCTTCAATATCAATTCCGCTGTTGCGCATCAGTGCCGGTAAGTGACAACCATTTTTATTTTGAAGCAAAGGATTTATAAATGCATGAAGAAATCCATTGCTTCTAACTCTCCGTTGGTGGGACAATACGTGAGTAAAAATTAAAGTGAAAAAGTAATGGAAAAATATTTTTAATAAAGACAGATGATATTTTTGTTGCAATTGTATGATGG